AATGGCTGCAGTGATGGATTCAGGTATAGAAAGGAACATGAGGCTGGTGCAGTACTGGGCAGTGTTTCATTCTGCTGTGGATTGGGTCACTATAAATCAGAGATGACTCAACAGTCTCAACAGTACCTAACAACAACAACAACAACAACTATATATATATATATATACACACACACACACACACACACACACACACAGAGACAGAGACAGAGACAGAGTGAGTCTGGCAAGTCCCAAGTTCCTCAATCAAATGTCAAGCTGGAGGCTTTTCCCTACTCATGCAGCCACAGGGGTTGATGAGCTCAAGATTGGCAGGCAGTATAACAGGCTGTTGACCCCAGCAGATTATGAATCCAAGGTCAGCAGGCTCACAGAACAGTTGTAGACAGCACGACAGGACCCAGATCCACAGAAGTTTACTGAATTTTCCAGGATATCCATTTATATATTGGAAGCAGGCCACACCCTTAAAGAAACACTCTTTCAGCTGATTGGCTGCTCAAGGCATATACATCAATCTCATCATGGAATCAACCACATTACAACTGCTTAAACCACTCAGAATCATGGCCCAGTCAAGTTGACACACAACCCAAACTATCACAGTATATATCCTGGAGAAATAAGTCATGACACGAACAAATATATGCATACCCATGTTCACTGCAGAACTATTCACAATAGCAAAAAGATGGAAATTACCTAAATTACCATCAATGGAGGAATGGATCAACAACCTATGGTACATATACACAGTGGAATACTATGCAACATTAAAGAACAATGATGCATCTGTGAAACATCTCATGACATGGATCACCTTAGAGACCATTATGTTGTGCAAAGTTAGTCAATCACAAAAGGACAAATATTGTATAAGATTACTATTGTAAAAAAGTCAAGAAAAGGATTTCACACACATAAAAAAAATTCTTTGATAGTTACTAGGGGTAGGTAGAGAAGTGAGGGCAACCACCAACTAGAGGGTAGACACTTATTAACTTGGGTTAAGGAGAAAAAGAAGAACAAACTGTAGTCACAAGAGCCTGGATGCAGGAAGTTCAGTAGGAAGGAAGTTTTTGTAACAGTTCCAGTGAATGGTGATGAAATCCTGAATTAAGGTAATGTCAGCAAAGGGATGGGGTGGTAAGAAAAAAAGAAAAGAAAATACCATGGCTTGGGTCAGGAGCACCTTAGTCCTCAAAGTGATATTTTTTTCTTTTTAAGTCTTTAAAGAGGTCTTTTGTAGCAGATTTTCCAATGCAATACATCCTTGGATTTCTTGACTGCTGCTTCCGTGGACTTTGACTATGGACCCAAGTAAAATGAAATCCTTGGCAACTTGAAGCTTTTCTCCATTTACCATGATTTTGCTTATTGGTCCCATTTTGAGGATTTTTGTCATCTTTATGTTTAAATGTAATCTATACTGAAGGCTGTTCTCTTTGAGATTCATCAGTGTTTCAAGTTCTTTTTGCTTTCAGCAACCAAGATGTGTCATCTGCATACCGAAGGTTATTAATTAATCTTCCTTCAATCCTGATGCCACATTCTTCTTCATGTAGTCCAGCTTTGCAGTTTATTTGCTCAGAATACAGACTGACTAAGTATGGTGGAAGCATGTAACCCTGATGCATACTTTTCCTGATTTAAAACCACACAATATCCTCTTGTTTTGTTCGCCTGACTGCCTCTTGGTCTATGTACATGTTCTGCATGAGCATAAAGTGTCTGGAATTCTCATTCTTCCCAACATAATCCATAATTTGTTATGATCCACACAGTCAAATGCATTTTCATAGTCAATAAAACACAAGTAAACATCTTTTCCAGATTCTCTGCGTTCTGCTAAGATCAGCAATGATATCTCTCGTTCAATGCCCTCTTCTGAATCTGGCTTGAATTTCTGGCAATGCACTGTCAGTGTATTCCTTCAACTGTTTTTGAATTATCTTCAGCAAAATTTTACCTGCATGTGGTATTAATGATATTTTTGAATAATTTCCACATTCCGTTGGAGCACCATTCTTTGGAACAGGCATAATTATGGATAGACCTCTTCTAGTCAGTTGGCCAAGCAGCCATCTTCCAAGCTTCTTGGCACAGATGAATGAGCATTTCTAGCCATCTGTTGAAACATCTCAATTGTCATTCCATCAATTCCTGGAGCTTTGTTTTTTGCCAATGCCTTAAGAGCAGCTTGGACTTCTTCCTTTAGTACTGTCAGTTCTTGATGAAATGCTACCTCCTGAAATGATTGAACGCTGACTAATTCTTTTTGGTACAGCGACTCCGTGTATTCCTCCCATTTCCCCTTGATGTTTCCTGCATCATTCAATATTTTTCCCATAGAATTCTTCAATATTGCAATTTAAGGCTTGAATTTTTCTTCAGTTATATCAGCTTTAGAAATTCTGGCCATGTTCTTCCTTTCTGGCTTTCTAACTCCAGTTCTTTGCACATTTCATTATAATACTTTACTTTGTCTTCTGGAACTGCCATCTGAAATCTTCTGTTTGGCTATTTTACTTCATCATTTCTTCCATTTGTTTTAGGTACTTTACACTGAAGAACAAGTATCAGCGTCACTTCTGGCATACATTTTGATCTTTTCTTTCCTTCCTCTCTTTTTAATGACCTTTTGCTTTCTACATGAATGATGTCCTTGATGTCATTCCACAGGCTGTCTGGTCTTTGGTCATTAGTGTTCACTGTGTCAAATCTATTCTTGAGATAGTCTGTAAATTCAGGTGGGATATTCTCAAGGTCATACTTTGGCTCTCATGAATTAATTTTAATTTTCTTCTTCAACTTGAACTTGTGTAGGAGCAATTGATGGCTGTTCTACAGTCAGCCCCTAGCTTCATTCTGACTGTTGACATTGGGCTTCCCTCCCATCTCTTTCTACAGATGTAGTCCACTTGATTCCTGTGTCTTCCATCCAGTAAGGTCAAAGTGTGTAATCACCATTAATGTTTTTGAAAAAAGGTATTTCCAATGAATAGGACATTCGTCTTGTAAAATTCTATCATGCAATCTCTGGTGTCATTTCTACCACCAAGGCCACATTTTCTAACTTCTGATCCTTCTTCCTTGTTTCCAACTTATACATTTCAATCACCAGTAATTATCAATGCATCTTGATTGCATGTTTGATCAATTTCCTACTTGCCAAGACAGAAATCAATTTCAGAAGGTGATAAAAAATGTTCAATTTCTTCATCTTTGGCATTGTGGTTGATGTGTAAATTTGAATAATAGTTGGATTAACTTGTCTCCTTCTAGACATATGGATATCATTCTATCACTGACACTGTTGTACTTCATGATGGGTCTTGGAATGTTCTTTCTGACCATGAATGTGATGCTGTTCCTCTTCAATTTCTCATTCCTAGCATGGTAGACCATATGATTGTTTGATTCAAAATGGCCAATACAGTTCATTTCAGCTCACTAATGCAGGATATCTATCTGCAAGTGTTTCATTTCATTTTTGATAACTTCCAATTTTCTAAGATTCATATTTCATACAGTCCACATTCTAACTAGTAATGAGTCTTTGCAGCTATTTCTTCTCATTTGGAGTTGTACCACATCAGCAAATGAAGGTCCTGAAAGCTTTACTCCATCTATGTCAGTAAGGTGACTCTGCTTTGAAGAGGCAGCACCAGTCATATTTTGAGTGCCTTCTGACCTGAGGGGCTCATCTTCCAGTACTATATCAGACAAATGTTACATGCTGCCCTTCATAAGGTTTTCAGTTGCCAGTTTTGTTTTAGAAGTAGATGGCCAGGTCCTTTGTCCTGTCTTCCTGTCTGGAAGCTCCACTGAAACCTACCATGGGTGACCCTGCTGGTATTTGAAATACCACTGGCATAGCTTTCAGCATTATAGCAACAAGCCAGCCACCATACATCGAAGTAAACATCTGTATTTACTCATTTTCCCATAAACATCCATTTATAGGAAAATCACATATTTCACTTTCAACCATCACTGAAGGTAGCATCCAAAATTGGTACACTGCTATGAAAACTTCCCCAATTACAGAAGTCTTGGGACTCCAAGACGTTGATTTGGCAATGTAACACATTTAAATGTTGTTCTTGCTGAGCAGGAAATTTGGGGCGGGGAATGGGAGCTACATAGGTGCACTACTGAAAATGTTTTCTCAAACCTCAGCCACTCCCAGGTATCTTGGCAGGCACCCCAGGAGGGAATACCTCTAAAGGAGATAATTCAACCTCCACCTTCCATTAGTAAATTGAAACTGGAGATAATGGCTTTCATGTCACCTACTTGCCAAGACAGAAACAAAACTGTCAACACTCGTTATCAAAACGACAGCACTGGCTGAAACATCCTCAAACATCTGTCTCTCAGCCTCTACCGCCACCGTTCCTGGCAGCAGCACCACCGGAAACAGCAGCTGCGGCTCCTGAAAGTTTGCCCGCGAGGTACTCACCTCTGCAAATCACGCTAGCAGGATTCAAGTTCTCCCTATCCCCTTTCCACGCCAACACCCCAAAGGAGAACCTCCATTCGCCATTCGCCCATTTCTGATACCGCTAAGATCATGGACAGATCTAACGAGTAAAGAAATTAAACAGTACCCAGTCAACGGGAAGAATAGACGTTCCATACTGCCGTGGAGGAACCAAGCTATGCTCCTCCAAATTCGGGGGCGCTAAAATGACTCACATCTACTGGAAGCGAAGCAGAGAGGAGGGGTCTTTGCTGGGCTAAGGGGGCATCCTCAATCTCGGTCTTTACCTTCCTTTCTCCGACTTTTTCTCATCTTGCTCAACAAATTGCATTGTACCTCAGGACTGTGGAGGGAACCCCATGTACAAAGTGCAGCAACAAACCCTCCCTGCCCGCGACGCAGCTCCTCTGGAACCGCGTGAACACGCTCCACCTTTCCCGCCAGGCACCTGCGGTCCTGTCCGAGAACCCCTTCTGTCCCCCCACCCCCGTAGCCTCGGCCTCAGTCGACTCACAATGAAAGGCACGGAGCACACGGCGAAGAGCGCGGTCATGAAGGCCAGCAGCAGGAGGTGATCTAGCTCCTCAAGGGGCTGTGGGGACTCCTCCTTCTCGCCGGTACCCGGCTGCGCGCGGTCCCGTGTGCCGGAGCGCGGGTGCCGCTGCAGCCGCTGGTGCATGGCGTAGAGGTTGCGCATGGCGCTCAGGTTGCACAGCACAGTGGCTAAGACCAGCAGCGCCATTAGGCTGGCGTAGAGCACCGAATAGCCCACCACCGAGAACAAGCCGTCCTCGTGGTCCATCTGGATGAAGCACCAGGTGCCTGGGCAGTACTGCACGAACTCCCCAAAGCCCGCGAAGGGCAGAGCGCAGAAAGCCAGGCAGAAGGCACACACGACGGGCGCCACCAGCGCGCCCCGGCGCAGCGTGATGTGCCGTCGATAGAAGAAGGGGTGCCCCAGAGAGAGCCAACACTCCAGCGCCATGGCCAGCAGCTGCAACATCGAGGCAAGACCGAAGAAGGACATGAAGAAGGCGAAAGCTTGACACAGCGAGTTGCCCGAAGCAGGCACAAGCGCTCTCATACTTCGATTCTGCGCATAGGAGGCCAGTACCACCGGGCTCACGAGGCACTTGCCCAGAAAGTCTGTAACCGTCAGACCGCACACCAGCACGTAAAAGACCGAGAGTGGCGGGCGCGGCGGCCGTAACCCCAGCCCAAAGCGCGCCAGCAGCCCCAGGGCCAGCAGATTGCCCACGAGGCCCGCGCTGAAGAGCACCCCACCCATCGTCGCCGAGTAGCCTCTCTCCACCGAGGTAAAGTTGTTGCAGCGGTAGAGCGGCGGCCTCATGGCGGGTGGGCACCGCGGGCCCGAGCCGAGGCAGCGGAGAGCTAGGAGCCCTGCACCCGGGTGCGTAGGAGCCCCTGGCCGCTCGGCGCGCGGCTCTGCCAGGCAGGCTGGCTGCTGAGGAAGCTCAGCGGGTCGCGGGATGTTCCCCACAGGAGGCGCCTCCTATCTAAACTCTGGGGTCACACCCCTCTCCGAGGGGGCGGGACACGCGCCGGTTGCGCACCCGCTGTTGGCAATGCAGAGAGTGGAGCAGAGGAGCGAGGAGCTCTGCCCTGACGCGTTGGGTCCTGAGGAGAGATTCTGGTACCCAGGGCCAGAACAGAAGGATCGTAGCTAGATTCTGAGCACCCAAGGTCAGATCTTCTTTTGAGGCAAGAACTACTGAAATGAAGCGGGAAATTAAGCAGCAGCCTCAAGGGAGAGGGGGACAAGAGGAGTGGTATTGGTGGGACTCTGATGATGGCCAGCAATTCTGAGGACAAGAGCAGAAGACAGGCTGAGAAAGGGCTACCACCTACTGTTCTTGAATTAGTAGCTCAGTGACTGGTAAAAGCAACTAACATTTGCCCACCACTTAATCCTTAGCTCTAGTTCTTTTACGGTTTCCCTCCACCACTGGGCATAACAATATTCTCCGTTGCATATGTGAGGACACCAAGGCCATGGAAGGTTGAGTGACATACCCAAGGTGGCAGAGTTAGTAAGTGGCAGAACTGGACCTGGAACGGGGCTCTTCTATTGTCTATCTGTCTTGCTTGCAGGACTCCTTCTTTCAAGAGATTGGCCAGATTTCAGGCAAGTGGTTCCAGCAAAGACCAAGAGGCAAAGTTGGCCCTGGGTACCCCAAATCACAGTGGTGTGTGGGAGGAATATGGTTAAGAACACTGACTTTGTCATCAGAGAGACCTGAGTTCAAATTCCTATACTGTTATTCACTGCCTGTTTGACCCTGAGGGACTTAACTCTGAAGCAGTAACATCTATGCAGTCTGCTTGGCTGTTTTTTTTCCTAGAGAGACATTTTACATAACACATTGTAAAGCACAAAACCCACTGCCACCGAGTTGCTGCTGAGTTATAGTGACCCTATAGGATAGATTGGAACTGCCCCATAGGGTTTCCAAAGCTGTAAATCTTTATGAAAGCTTATTGCCCTAAATTTCTTCTGCTGAGCTGCTAGTAGTTCTGAACCACTGACCTATTCGTTAACAGCTGCACACCTTAGTCTCTGCCAGCGGAGCGTCTTTTCATGTAAAGCACAGGCATGTACATAGTAAGTACAATAGTCATGATTCTCAAGGGATGAAAGGCTGCCTTAGTAGCTGATGTTTAACTACAGTTTTTAGCAGGAATTTTGAAACCAGAATAGACTTGGTTTAGAGTTTTCTCATTCCTCTAGTCTATAACTGTTGTTGTTATGTGCTGTCAAGTTGGACTCGACTCATAGCGACCCCTCCTTGGGTTTCCAAGGCAGCATCACTATGGAAGTAGATTGCCCCATCTTCCTTCCGAGGAGTGGCTGGTGGGTTTGAACTGCCAGCCTTCTGGTTAGCAGTCAAGTGCTTTAGGCACTACGCTTGGTCTATGACTACTAGAAAACATTTCTACCCTGTCTAGCCTTTGACTTTTTGACTTGGCTGCATAATAAAGGCAAGAGAGTTAATTGTGAAATGTGATTTTTTTTTTTTTTAAGTTAAAATAGGAGCTCTGATAGCTTAGTGCCTAAAGCACTTGCCTGCTAAACCAGAAGGCTGGTGGTTCAAACCCACCAGCCACTCCTCAGAAGGAAGGTTGGGCAATCTACTTCCGTAGTTATTCGGCCTCAGAAACCCAAGGAGGGGTCGCTATGAGTCGGGCCTGACTCTACAGCACATAACAACAACAATAACAAGTTAACATGTGATATCCAACAGAGCAACTGGCTTTATGTGTGGAATTTAAGTGGGACGATTAAGGCCATATTATGTAAGCAAGTCGATTATGATTTGGGTTAAAGTAGTTCATTATTAATCTTAACCAACCAACCAGCTCACTGCTTTGAGTCAGTCCTGACTCATAGCGACCCCTCCGTGGGTTTCTGAGGCGGTATCACTACGGAAGTAGATTGCCCGGTCTTCCTTCTGAGGAGCATCTGGTGGGTTTGAACCACCAGCCTTCTGGTTAGCAGTCAAGTGCCTTAGGCACTATACCATCGGAGCTCCTTAACAAGTCCACAGACAAACCCAGGGAGACAGCACAGCCCCAAGGCTCTAGATGTGAAAACTTAAGGGTAGCCAGAGAGGGCTTCCAGGCTGAAAGCCTGACCATAATTCAGACCATGGAGTGGACTGCACGAGTTCAAGCTTTGGAATTAGACAGTTTCAAAGTCTACCACTAGCTGTGTGACCCTGAATTAGTTACTCAATCTCGGAGTTTCCATTTCTTCATAAATAGAATATGAGACTTATGCTGACCTCATAGGTTATTCTAAGTTGAGAAATCATAAAATTCCTAGTATGTAATAATTATAATAATAAAGAGCTAACACTTATGAGCTGGGCAATCTCTAAAACTTTTACATATATTGACTCATTTAGTAGAAGGCCTTCCATTAGGGTTAATTCCCTGGTCTTCCATATTTTCTCTCTCATCCTCACTTTTTATCTCTAGCTCTATCGCCTAATGAACAGTGATGGGCTTAGAAGAGCCTCACTTGAAGAAGAAGAAGGAGGCGCAGGCCCTATAACCAAAAGACATAAGCAAGAATCTGAGGCAAGCTAAGGTCCTCTTCCCAGACACACACACACACGTGTGCACACGCACACACACATACATAGCACACATATGCACGGATACACACACATGCACAGATACACACATACAGACTTTACATCAGTTACAGGCTATTCACAGTGTCCTGTGGCACCCAGAGGAGAGCCAATGGACTATAGCTTAAAAAGCCCTCCTTCAGACCAGTTTTGCTGGTTTGATAGAGGCTGGTGAGACCCCTGAGACTATGGCCCCTAGTTACCCTTCAGGTCTGGAATTGAACCCACTCCTGTGGCTTCCAGCCAAATAATAGACAGGCATATGGGGTGAACATTTACATCAGGTGGATACACTACTTGGAGCTGTCAGTCATGGGAGAACAGAAGGGCAGTGTTTGCACAAGGAGACAGCTGGGGGAGGGGGAGTGCATGCAAGGGAAGGACACAGGGAAGAGGTTAACTACGGGAAGGAAGTGGGAAGAGAGCTGTTACATTGTGGGGATTTGCAGTCAGTGTCATGAGACAAAATGTGTATGAACTGCTGTAGGGAAAATGAATTTGCTTTGTAAATGTTCACCTAATCACAATAAATTTTTTTTTAAAAAATCTGTCCTCCCAGGACATCATACAGGGTCCCAAAGCATACCTACACAGAATCTTTGTACCTTTATTTTCCTGCTACAGCTCCTTCTACCTCCATACCCCTCCCAGGAGCAGTGACAGGGTGAGAGTCACCCAAAAATGTAAACAATTCTTTAAAAACAACTCCAAAGTGTGACAGAAGATTCAGCTATGTGTCCTTAATGTGGTTTATAAATACCATGCTTCAGATGTTGAAGGTCTTGAACGGGCACAATTCAGGAAACCACATGTTTCCTCCTGGCCAATGTAGCTGGGGTTTACTCTTGTGTTTCCGGCTGTCTTTCCTGCCTGCTTTGCTCTTGTTCACCCTGCCTTGTTCTCAGGCATAACTCTGGAGGCTCCTCTCCCTGCTGTTAAGAAATCCTATTGTAGAACTTCAATTTCAGCCAAGGAAAAGATAGTTTGCTCATGCATCAAGTATTTTTTTTAACTCTTAACTTGTGTCAGGGTGAGTTGTGTGGGCAATGAGGAGCATACAGCAAATAAGAGAAGGAAAATGTCTTGTGATTTTTAGATATTTGTACATTTTTATGTCAGCTTTCAGAGTAATGAGGCTGAGCCATTTTTTTCTCCCTCAGAGGAAAACTTTTAATGAAAATATCTCAGGCCCCAGTTATATGATAAAATTATCTTCATTATCTTTAGATATGTAGAAGTCTGGTTAATTACACTATAAGACATATAGTCTGGGAAAATATGTGTGGGATAATGTGAAGAGATCATTTTAAATGTGAATTATAATATTATAAATGTTAACTGCGTGTATCTGAATAGACAAGGCCTAGTGGTTGACATGTTGTTGTTGTTGTTATGTGCCATCGAGTTGAACCTGACTCATAGCGACCGCTCCTTGGGTTTCCGAGGCGGTATCACTATGGAAGTAGATTGCCCAACCTTCCTTCTGAGGAGTGGCTGGTGGGTTTGAACCGCCAGTCTTCTGGTTAGCAGTCAAGTACCTTAGGCACTACACTACCAGAGCTCCCAGAGGTTGACATAGGCAAATGAAAATGTTGATCTAACCTTGAGAAGGGATTGTAGTCTCCATAGTTTCTGATATTTTCAGAATAATATTTATAATAATTATTTTAAAAAATTAAGCAGAAAACTGGTGTATGCTCATGGCCAGATTTTAGGAAGGGTGGAAAAAAGAGAAACTAATTTTTTTTTTTTTTTTCTGGATCAATCTTGACTATGCTAAATCATATTCATCGCTTCCCTCCTATTGAACTCCTACTGATATTTTGGGCTAGGAGTTGTGAAGCAGAAAATGGAGAGGAGGGACGCTAAAAAAGCAAAGAACAAAATTAGCTTCCAATGTTGAAGACCCTTCTTCAGGATAGAGACCACGCTCAGCAGGGTGATAATGAGGTGTGAGGTCTATCAGTCGTCATGTTGTGTGAATTCAAATCTCAGCTTTGCCCATTGCTAGCTCTGTTCCCTTGAGCAAACTTAACCTTTGTAAACCTCATTTTTCTCATATAAAAAAATGGAGAAGACAGTTGGACCAAGTTCACAGGGTATTTGCATGGCTTAAATAAATTTGTCTGCATTGAAAAGTAGTTCTCAATTTTGGCTGCATTTTAGAATCACTGGAGAGCTTCTGACATTTCTG